TTATGGCTCTGAAACCCAAAACCCACCCAAAAGGGCTTAATCACTCCCAGCCGCGGCCCCGATGCTTTTATGGGGCATTTTAGAGCAAAAGAGCCAATAAATTTTTGGGTGAGGGTAAGAGCCGCGGTGAGGATGAGGAGGGAGCTGAGGAGGAGGAGGGGGGATCCACTGGGGTGGGTTAAAATGGGGGAGACAACAGGGGGGAGGCGCGTGGTTGAGCCCCGGTAGTGGCGGAGAGGGGTCGGTCCCCCCCCCTCGACAGGGGGGGCGTCGGTGGCTCCTCCTCCTCCTCCTCCCGGTATCCCGGGGCTTTAAGGCGGTGGAACGGGGGGCGGGGGGCGGCGGCGGCGGCGGGTCCCGGTCCCGGTCCCGGTCCCGGCGCGGGTCCCGGTCCCGGCATGACCTCGGCGGGGGAGGCGGCCGGTTCCCCCCCGCTGCCCGCCGCGGTCGGCGGCCACCGGCGGAGCCCCTTGGACCGGCTCCCGCCCCCCGCCAACACCACCAAACCGCTGACCCCCTTCGGCATCGAGGACATCCTGGGGCGCCCCCGCGGCGGGAGTCCCCCCGGGACTGGGACCGGTCCCGCCGCCCCCCCCGCCCCGGCAGGGCCCCGCGGCGGCGGCGGCTGCGCCCCGGCCTCGCCGCTCTGGGCGCTGGAGGAACTCGCCAGTAAAACCTTCCAGGGGCTGGAGCTGGGAATGCTGCAGGCGGCCGGAGGTACCGGGGCAGGGAGGTTGCTGGGGCGGGGGGCTCTGCCGGGAGCGGGGCGGGCACCGGGAACCGGGCACGGGGATTCGGGCACCGGGCAGGTGGCGGGGCCGGAGGGCGGTGGGGGAAGCCGTGGCGAGGCCGGGGACGCCCCTCGTCCCCCGTCCCGAGAAGTTTCCTCCTTGTCCCGGAGGGGTGAGCGCGGCTGGGAGGCCCGAGAAGCCGCCGGTGCTCGAYCGGGACACCGGGGACACGCGGCAGCCTCAGTCCGAAGGGAGGGAGAAATCACGGGGCCGGACACAGGGAACCGGAGAGAACCCCGGCTCCGGTGAGTCGCCATAGGCACCGAGGCACCGGAGCTCCGGCAGCACCGGCCGTGCCGGGGTCGGCAGCTTTACCGGGAGCCGCGGGACCGGGCGATGGATCGGCCCCGCCGAGCCGTGATCGTGACCGTGACCGAGCGCGGGGGCTGAGCCGCGGATCGGGCCCGGCGGCAACGGGAACCTGGTACCGGCCCCGAGCCTCGGCGGGGACGGCGGCTCCGTMCGGTGTTTGGCCACCCAGAGTGGCGGGGTCCTACGGCCGCTCACGGACGGGGACAAACCGGGCCCGCAGCTCCGCGTTCAGCCCAACCGGGTGGACGGATGGATACCGACAGACAGATCACGGCGCCGCCGGGAACGAAAAATCCGTTACCGGGTTGGAGAGACGGACATGGATGGACCGATTGGGACTCCGGAATTAACGGAAAATCCCTCACACGTATGGACACACGGACCGGCAGAGCACGGAGTCGCYGGGAATGAATAAAACCGTTACCGACAGACAGTTCGACACGGACAGACGGAAAGAGGCTCCGGTAATTAACGTAAAAAACCAACCCCTTGCCGACACGGATAGAGAGGGTCTCCGTGATTAACGTGGAAGAAAAAAAAATTACCGGGACGGACAGACCGACAGTCACGGCAGACAAACGTGCCGGTAATTAAGGGACACCGTTGGGCACAACGCAGCTCCGGCCGGTAACGAAAAACCCTTCGGACAGACGGACACGGACCGCCAGATCAGCACTCCCGTGAGTAACCGAACCTTCGTTACCARCCGGACAGACGGACAAGGATAGAGCCGAGCTCTGGTAATTAACGGGGAAAAAAAACCTCTAATTATGGAGTGGCTCTCCGGTTAATTAAGAAACCCACCATACCGGACAGGCAGACAGACAGACAGAGCGTGGCTCCTGTGATTAACGAATAAACCAACCCGTTAATGGGTGGATAGACGAACAGAACGGGGACGCCTCGGGCGCCAGGTTTTAAGGTAAAACCCCTCGTTATCGGACAGACGGACACGGCAAGGAACGAAATAAGTGAGCGAAAAAAATCCCATTACCGGGTGGACAACGAACAGGAATGAGGGCGAAAAAAATCCATTTTTCCGGGAAGGACAGACGGGCAGAAACGGGCCGATCGGGACTCCCGGAATTAAGGTTAAAACGCCCGTTACCGGACGGACAGACTAACAGAAACATGATCGAAAAAATTAACGAAAAAAGCCCGTTACCGGGAGATCAGATGAACAGAAATGGGAACGAAAGGGGCCCCCGAGGCGGAGGTAAATTCCCGTTACCGGCCGGACAGAAGGATGGACAYGGGACTAATAAAAATGAACGAAAAATACCCGCTGCCGGCCGGACAGATACAGGAGCGATCGGGGCACCCCGAGCCGGGGTGAAGCCTCGGTGCCGGCCGGACAGACGGACACGGACGAGCGGGGATTTCGGAATTAACAAAACCCGGTCGAGAACCGGCCGCGGGTAACGGCGGAACGAGCCGGGACTGGCGGACACAGGAAGGTGCCGGTGATTCAGGTAAAATCTTATTACCGGGACGGATCCACGGGCACAGCCGGGAAGGTCCAGGGCTTCCGTAATGAACGAAAACCCCTCTTCGCCRTGACGGAAGGACGGACGGACACAGGAGCGATCGGGGCTCCCGGAGCGGGGATAAATCCCCGTCAYCGGGACGGACGGACGGACAGAAACGGGGCCGATCGGGGCCCCGAAAGCTGAGGGGAAGTCCCTTACTTGACTGACGGACGAGCATGGGATTGATAGTGGTTTCGTGCCCGCGGTAAAGCCGTGTTACCGGGACGGAACCACGGACTCGGCCGGGACCGCCCGCGGCTCCTCTACCGAACGGCTGGGCGTCCCGAGGAGCKGAGTCCGCGCTGGGAGAGACCCCGGGAGGCACCGCTGTTTGGAGGGGTGCCTGGACCGAGTGGCCTCGGCAAGCCCGTGAAGCGTTATCRAGAGGGAGATCGGTACCGCCGGAGCGGCGGGGCTGGAACGGACTGGGAAAGAGACCGGGACCACGACCGGGATCGTGACGGCGGCGTGGAGCTGCGCTCGCGGTGGCGATCCACGTCTTTCTGGGGGCTCTCTACGTCGCTAGCAGCAGCAGCGACCGCACCGGAGCCGACGGGATCGAATCTGCGGACCAGCACGGCCGCGGTCTCCAGGAATCGTSGAGAGGAAGGAGGATCCCGGTTCCCTAGCGGGGCTCCCGGCTCCGTTCCCGGCTACCAGCCGCCGGCAGGACACGGGTGTCGCAGCCTCGGTCGCAGCGGGGAGCGATTCCGACGCGACTGCGGCCGCTGTAGAACGATCACTCGCGGCTTCCAGCATCGGCCGCGGTTTGTTTTGCTCGGTTCGGTTGGGCACGACTCWGCTTGTCACGGCTTGGCTGTTCTCKGCTTGATGTGGGCCGGTTCGTCTCCGTTCGACCGGGGGTCGGAGGGGCCGGGCCCCACCAGCAATGCTCTGCGCGGCTTGGCGGGRCCGGTGTGGATCCCCGTGCGGGTGCCGTTACCGGTGCCCTGGCACTGCTGTRCCCACAGATCGGGACGCGCAATGCTCGGGGTGGGTCCCGGTGCKGGTGCCGGTGTCTTTGACCTGACGTCGCTGTCGCCGCAGGGCGAGCCCCGGTGCCGGCGGTGCCGGCGCCGACCCACAAATCCTTCCCCGCCGGCTATCCCGGGGCCGTTACCGGTGCGGTGCCCTGACGCCGCTGCCCCMGCAGGCACTTCACCACCGGGCGCCCGGGTGTCGTTCCCCGGTGCGGGCCCCGGTTGCGGTTCCCCGCTCTCCGTACCCTGACCCCGCTGTTCCCGCAGGTCCGTCCCCGCCGGGCGCCTCGGGCCCGCGCCCTCCCTGCAGGAAGCGTCGCAAGTCCCGGACCGCTTTCACGGCGCAGCAGCTTCGGGAGCTGGARCAGCGATTCCGGCGGCAGCGCTACCTCTCCCCGGTGGACCGGGACGCGCTGGCGGCGCGGCTGGCGCTCTCCGCCGCCCAGGTCATCACCTGGTTCCAGAACCGCCGCGCCAAGCTCAAGCGGGACCTGGAGGAGCTGCGAGCGGACGTGGCCTCGCTGCAGGCGCTGCCCCCCGCCGCCCTGCAGCAGCTGGCGGGGCTGCCCGAGCCCCCGGGGGCTCCCGGTACCGGCACCGGGACCGCAGAGCCCGCCGAGCTTTCGGAGGAGGAGATCGACGTGGCGGACTGAGCCGAGCACGTCCGGCTCCGCTCGGTTCCTTTCGGACCCCCTCGGCTGCATTCGGTCCGAGACAGCTCCGTTTGGATCCACGAGGCTCCATTCGGACCGGCTCGGCTGAGTTCGGATTCGCTCGGGTCCGTTCAGGCCGAGACAGCTCCGTTCGGCTCCGTTCGGGTGCACTCGGGTCTGTTCGGACTGACTCGGCTCCACTGCCTCCGCTCAGCTCGGTTCCGAACAGAGCCGAGCCCTGCCCCGCCCCCTCGGTGCACCCTTTTTCGGGTATTTTTTTTAATCGTCTTTCCATTGGTTTGTTTTTTGTTTTTTTTTTAATTTTATTTTCTATCGGCCCCGGTGTAAATATTTGCAATAAAGGCAACACCTTAATATGGACCCAAGAGCCCCCCAGCCCCCATTATTTTCCGGGCGAGCACCTCCCACCGCGGGCATTAATTTGTTTTAACCGGTGATTAATTACCGGCTGCGGCCGCCCCTGCCCCCCTCAATTTGCATATTAATCAAATTGTATTTGATCTCACGCCTGTCACCCCCCCCCGAAGCTCCTGTCACCAGCCAGTGACATTAAAGGGGGCTGGAGACACCCCCYTCACTGTCCCCCAGGGCTGGAGGGACATGGGGGAGTGAGGGGGGATACAGGGGACAAGGAGTGGACAGAGATGGGGGGGGCTGGACCAGTGGGGGTCCAACACTGCAACAGGGAGGGGTGACAGAAAGACAGGGAAACATCAGCCCAAAGGAAGGCCAGACAGAAAAACACATCTCAGCTTTATTAAAATACTGAAATTGGTACAAATCCCTGAGGGGCTGCAGAGAACAGCCAGGGCCCACCTCCCCAGCCCAAGGGGCTGCAGGGTGGGCCCGGACCCCCAGCACCCCCAAGGCAGGAGGGGGAGACACTCCCACCCCTGGCAGTGGGGGACAAGGCACAGGCAGGTACAGGCAGGTGAAGGGGRGCCCTGGCAGCCCCCCCAGCAGAGCGGGGTCAACTGAGCATTGGCCCGGGGGTGGCCCTGCCCTTGGCACGGGGCAGCGGGGCTGGGGTGGCGTGGACCGGGTGCTTGAGTTGCAGCAACAACTCGCTGCCCTCCACGATGGCACCCTGGGGACAAGAAGAGATGGCATTGGGACAGGGCCCATGCAGGGATAGGGTGTCCCACAAGCTCCCCCAATTCACCTGCATGGCCCTGTAAGCCTCCTCAGCCGCCGCCCTCCCRGAGAAGTTGATGAAGGCACAGTGGCGTCCTGGAAGCAGCCGCATGGAGCAAATCTCACCAAACCTGGGGGGCAACAGTAAAGARACTCCTAAATAGGGAGGAGGAGGGCTAGACACCCCCAACCTGCATGGTGGTGGGGTTAGAGACCCTCAAACATGAGAAGGAAGGTTAGCAACCCCCAACAGCTGAAAAGAAGTACAAAAGAGTTGCAAAGATGAAGAAACAGAATGAGACGCCCCCAGCTCTGTGGAATGGGGGAACAGAGATTCCCAGACCTGAGGAGGAATAGTTAAAGGCACCTGAAGCTGTGGAATAGAGACCCCCAAACCTAGGGCTGGTGTGTGTGCCAGAGACTACTCCCCAAGCAGGTCAAAACTACCAGAGAATAAGGACAGGGACAGAGCTGGAGAGTTCGGGGGTCACTAGTGCTGCGCCAGGGTCTTGGAGTCCTCGAAGGGCAGCAGTACTGGGGTCACTCACCGGCCAAAGGCACGACGCAGCACCTTCTCGCTGATTTGGGGCGTGACATTGCCCACCCAGAGCGGGAAGCAGCCCCTGCCAAGAGCCATCCTGGTGTCATCAGAGCCAGCGCTGCCCCACGGGCGCTCTGGGCCACCCCCCGCTCACCAGAAACCTGTACCTGGCAGGGTGGCTCGGTGGCAGTGTCAGGTGGCCACTGGCCACTGCTGGTCCCTGTTCTGGGCTTTTTGTGGGGGTCCTGGCGCTGCCTCCCGTCACACTTGTGTCACCTGTGTCCTGACAGCTGGTCGCCCATCCCGCTACCAAGGGGCCAGAGGGGTTCAGCACCCACTGGGGACACAGGGATACCCCAGGGGTCCCCCCARGCCACCCACCCCTGTCCCTTACCAGGGAGAAACAGTGGCTCCTTAGCCTTGAGCAGGAAGGGGGACACGGGGACACCGCCAGGGCGGCTGCACTGCTGTGAGGGGACAGGGGTGAGGCGTGGGGGGCACGGCGGGACGGGGGGCAGGGGATGGGGGTTTGGGAAAGGGGGTCTCACCTGCAGCAGGGCCCGGCAGGCCTCCAGCTGCGTGGCTGCCTCAGCATAGGCCCCGTCCTGCAGCAGCAGCTCCTCGAAGATGCGCGCGGCCTCGGCGTAGCGCTGSGGGCCGGAGGGCACCTGCAGCCTCCTGCCCGGTCCCACGGGCACCCCACAACCCCCACCCGGCCCAAATGGCACCTCAAAGCCTCAATGACATCCCCCAGACTCACTTCACCCCACCCCACTAACACCCTGCAGCATCCCCAGTGCCCTGCCCAGCCCTGGCACCCCCCAGCCCAAACTCACATTAACACAATCAGCCCTCACACGCAGCCATAGCACCCCACAGCCACCACCCAGCCCCCCTGGAACCCCTCAGCCCCCTGCCCAGCCCACTGGCACTCCAAGGGCCCCAATTTGGTCCCATCAATAGCCCACAGCACCCCGCAGCCACTCTAAAAGCCCCAYAACCACTCCTGGCCCCCTGTAGCCTCTCACCCAGCCACGACACCCACCAGGCCCCCCTCCTTCAGTCCCCCCACAAGACCCCAGCCCCCTACAGCCCAGCCCCAAAGTCCCTGGAGCCACCCAGGTACCTGAAGCCCCCGCAGGGCCTTGCCCTTGCGGAAAGAGCCCTTGGGCCAGCCCGGCTGCAGCTCCAGCGCCGCCTCCGCATCCGCCAGCGCCTCCTCGTACCGAGCCAGCTTCTCCAGGCAGTACGAGCGGTTCCCYAGGAGCCTGTGGGGATGGGGGGTCACTGTGGCCCATCCCGAACACCCCAGAACCCTCTGGGCTACCCCAAAACCCCTCTCCTCACCGGTGCTCATGGGGATTCAGCTCCAGGGCGAGAGTGAAAGCCCAAACAGCCTCGGTGTGTTGGCCTAACTGGGCCGCCGCGATGCCATGGCCTGGGGAGGTGACACAGGGGTGCTTAGCGAGGACACAGACCTCCCCAGGGAGGGACAGCCACCCTGGCACAGCCCCACAGGGCAGGGGAGAAGCAAGGAGAGCCTCCAATGCCCTCTCCTTCCCTTCAGGGTGTCCCTGCACTGACCTGCGAGCGCCAGGCTCTGTGCCAGCGTGCTGGGGCTGGGGACCCTGGGTTGGAGGGGCTGGGGGGGGACAGATCTCTGCCTCTCCCCAGGGCTCCCCTTCTCCTTTTCTGGAACCCTCCTGCCTGGCTCCATGTTCTGTGTCCCAGGGGACCGGTCACTGCCCGGAGGGGGCAGCCGGACCCCCGCCTTCTCCCGYGCTTTGCAGACAAAGCTGCAGCTCAGGTCCAGCTCCTCCTGGGGGAGAAGGRAGGATTGGTCAGGCAGAGCCCTGGGACCCTCACCCCTAGATAGCCCCCCTGAGGAGACCCTCCGTCACCTCTGTCACCTCCGTGTCCTCCAGCCCAGGCTCTCCCGGGAGGGCTGTGGAGTCCCCAGGGCACRGGRAGGGYTTGGGGCAGCATCCCTCCTTCTCAGYGCCATTGGGTGGGGGCCCAGTGCCCACAGGGCCACTCAGGGGGCTCTGCAAGGAGAAGGAGGGGTAAGGTGTCTGAGCCCCAGCTCTGGGGACCCCTAGAACAACACGAGGGGGCTAAAGTGGTCACTTACCGGATCAGTGTTCTCTTTGTTCTTTAGCTCTTGACCCAGTTTCTCACGTTTCTTTCGGTCTTTTTGCTTCTGGAAAGAGAGAACGTGGAACCACGAGCAGGTGTCAGCAAAGAAAAGGAGCTCTCACAACCCCACCACCCTCAGCCCCCAGCCACGCGACCCCCAAGCTCAGGGACCTGCTGGCAGCATCCCAACAAGAGGCAGTGACCCCAATCTCCAGGGGGTGGCAGTGACCCTTTCCAGGGCTCACTCACCTTCTTTTTCTGCTTTTTCTTCTCCGCTTTCTTTTTTGCCCGCTCCYCCTCCTCCACCAGCTCCTGCGCATTCCTCTCGGCTTCCTGCAGGGGGGATACCCTGAGTCAGAACCCTTCTCCTGACATCAATCCGGCACCACYCAACCCGAGGGGCGGCGGGGATGTTCCCTACTTCTGCCGTGAGCGGGGCCCGGCAGGGTGTGGGCAGCCGGTCCAGCCGCGCATCCAGGGCKGTGGGAGAGGTCCGGGGAGGCTCCGAGGACAGGAAGGACTTGCGGAAGCCGCAGTAGCTGTASGGAATGGACCCCTCCGCGACGGGAACGTCCCAGTAATCCACCCCACCTTCATAATCTATGTCGAACCCGTCCTCGTCGTAATTGTAATCATCATTGSCATCGTCATCGTCATCCCCCAGTTGATAGTAATCCACGCTGGGGCCTGGCAGGAGAACGGGGGGCGTGARAAGCAGTCTCAAGCATCGAACCCCGGCAGTCCCTACCCACTGCCCCCTGTCCCGGGCAACTCCCGRGCACAGGGACCGCCCCGCAGCCCCCGCCCGACTCACCGCCATCCCAAAGCAGACACATCTCTCCCATCATGTACTCCATCGCTGTCTGGGAGGGGCCCTGCGGCGGCACCGGGAGGTCGGCGAGGCTGGACATGCGGTGCCGGGGGCAGAACGGCGCTGTGGGAAGCARAAACAGCCATGAGCCGGCGGAGGCGGAACCGAAACCGGGCCGCCACCGGGCCCCACTCCGGACTCCCAGCCCTGCCACGGCCCGTACCACCGCTCCAGCCAGCGGGACCGGGGGTGCAGCCCCAGGGGCAGGCAGCGGGGGCAGCTCCGAAGCCGAAGCCGCCCAGGCCGGGCCCGTCCCGCTCCTGGGTCCCGCCCGAGCCCCGCATCGCCACGGGCCGCCGCCGCCGCCGCGATTAGAACCGTGTCACGGGATCTRCCGGAAAAGCGTCACGGCTCCGGTTGACGCCGCCCGGCCGCCATGTTGGATGCGGGCAGGACGGCGGCCTCAAGGGCCCGCACCGAGCGGGACTGGAGCTGCACATCCCCTCCCGCCGTTCCCGCCCGCGCCAAGGCTGACGGTCCGGCCGCCCCCCGCCGATCGTTCCGCCCTCCACGCCGGGCCCCTCCTGGCCGCCAGCTTGGCCCAGCCCCCGGGATTAGTGAGGGCGCGGCCTAAGCCTCTTTGCTGCCGCCGCCGCCCCCGGGATGGCCCGGCATGGACGCCGGCGGCGCTGAGCGGAGCGGCGAAGAGCTCTGCCTACAGGTGAGGCCGCGGGGAGGAGCGGGGCTCGGACACCCCTCACGGGGCAGCGGCGGGGCAGGGCCGGTAACGGGGTGAGCGGGGGGACGCGGGCCCGGGCGGTGCGGCGTCTCCATGGCAACGGCACAGGGGGCGGAGCGGGGGGGCGTGGCCAACGTGGCGAGCTCTGGCTGGGGGCGTGACCGAATCAACCCTGGGGGCGTGGTCATGGAGGAGCTCGATGGGGGCGGGGCTGAGGCGCGGCTGCGGCGGGAGGGGGCGTGGCCGTGCGGTGGTGGGCGGGGTCAGGCGGTGGCCACGCCCCTCGCCCTGGCCCGGGGGTCCTCAGTCCCYCCTCACCCCTCCAGGTGGGCGACGCGGGCCTGGGCGGCCTCATCCTGCTGCTGCTGACGGCGCGGCCGGGACCGGGCAATGGGGCTGCCCGCGGAGAGCCCCCCGAGCCCGGTGAGACCTCTGGGGGCTGCRGGGACCGCAACGGGGTGCAAGGGTTCTGGGAGGCTTCGGGGTGCATGGTCCTGGGGGGGTGCGGAGGACTCTAATGAGGTCCAGAGTCCTTGTGGGGGGAATTGATGGCGTGTGGGGGGCTGTGGGGACCCCGGTCGTGAGGGGCTGCAGGGACACCAAGGGGCTGTGCGGTTCTGGGGGATCTGTGGGAAACTTAATGGGGTCCTGCAGGTCTTAGGGTTAGGGTGGCAATGGGGCGGTGTGGACAGGGGCTGCCCCACACTGTGGTTCTGTACTGCGCAATAGGGGATCTGCACCCTACACCAGGGTCCCTGCCCCACCCTGAGGGTCCCGTGCTCTCCAGGCGGGTCGCGGGGGCCCCTGGCRCGCTCCCTGCAGCGGGCAGAGGCCATGCTACGCAGCTGTGTCACACCGGGGCTGCGGCGCCTGCTGTCCCCGCGGTCAGACCGGCGCGGTGACGGCGAYGATGACGATGAGGAGGACGAGGATGAAGCAGCGTCCATCGTGGTCCCGCTGGAGCAAAGCTTCCTGGGGCTGCGCCGCTGCCTCTGTGTCTGGGAGGACCCTCGCACCGAGACTTTCCAGGGACACGTGCGACCCCATCCCGGTGGCGCCGGTGACTTCTCCGAGGACGCGGTGCGACAGCGTGTGGGAGAGCGCGGCGCGTCCCTGCACGGCCTGCTGCAGCACCGCCACCAGCTCCGCCTGGCCCGTGACTTCACCCGACGCCTCAAGGCCTCCTCCGACTTTGTGCGGCAGCTGCTGGCGCTGCCGGGGCCCGGAGAGCCCGGAGACCCCACGCCGGCGCTGCGGGAGCTGTGCCTGGAGCTGCGGGCGCACGCGGGGCACTGGGCCGCGCTGCTGCGGCGGCTGCGGGCGGACGCGTGGCTGCGGGCGCTGCCGCGGCGCCGGGGCGAGGCCGTGCTGCACATGCGGTGGGCGCTGCTGCTGCCCGCCCTGATGGCCGCACGCCTGACCGGACAGCACATCGAGGGACGGCTGCGGGAGCTCGGCCACCCCAGCATCCCTGCCCCGACCTCTGAGTGCCTAGCTGACCTCTTCCAGGGGCTGGAGATCTACAACCGTGTGGTGCAGGGGCTGGCWGAGGAGCTGGGCCCCGAGGTGAAGGTCCCCAGCATCTTCACAGTGGGTGATGTGCTGCGGCTGCTGGCAGCCAAGCGCGGCCAGGCTGTAGCCCAGAGGCTTCACAACCTCCTGTGGCCCCGGGAGGGGGACATCAGGGATGGACATGTCTGCTGGGAGGACGTGGTGGTGCCGTGGACACCAGAGCACAGTGCTATGGGGATGGGCATGGAGACAGACACTGAACCTTCTGGAGCAGAGGTGCCACCAGGGCTGGCGGCTGAGCTGCAAGCACTGTGCCAGGAGGATGAGGAGCTGATGGGACACGTTTTTGGGGCACTGGTGGCCTCAGCTGACAGCCTGTGGCAGCCAGTGCTGTCCGAAAGTCCCGAACCCCTGGGGCTGACCCCAGGACTGCGGCCGGGCAGTGCAGGTGGCTGGAAGGCCGTGCGGTGGCTGGACGCTGCCCGCGGCCCCGCAGCCACCGTGCTGAGTGCCCGGTACCGCTTGCTGCTCTGGGAGGCTGCTGGCTCTGCGCTGGAGGACAGCCTGGGCACCCCTCCTGCCACCCCCAGTGCCACYGTCACCGCGGCACAGGAGCTGAGCCGTGCACTCGCTGTGGGTATGTGGGGATACGGGGGATGTGAGGGGCTGCTGCAGGGTATCCCTGCCCTGCCCTGACCCCCCATGTCCCCCTGCAGCCCGTGTGCCCCCCCAGTGCCAGGAGGAGCTGGGGAGGCTCTGCCTGCGCCTGCTGTGCCGGAGCGTCCTCTGCAGCTTGGACACAGGTAGGAGGGGTCGGGAGATCACAGGGTGGGGTACAGGGGGTACAGGGTGCGGTTTGGGGTGTGAGCTTTATGGTACAGTGTGGGGGGCACAGTGTGGATATGGGGTGAGAGAATGGGGTACGCTGTGAGGTGTTGGATGTGGGGTATGGGGTGRGGTACTGGTGGGGAGTTGTTGGCATCTTTTGACTGTTTCTCCTCCAGATTTTACCCGTGCTCTGGGCTCGGGGCTGTCAGACAAGTGCTTGGAGGTCCCAGGAGGCCCCCCAGGGCCGGCATGCAGCCGCACAGCCCAGCAGCTCCGGCRCCTCTTCCCAGCCCTGGCACTCGCCCTGCGCTGCCTGCGCCTGCTGCCCGCCCGCCCCCATGGTGAGAGGGGTTTAGTGGGGTCGGGGGGGGGGGTCCAGGGGTCCTCTCTGTGCTGACCCCCACCCGCAGCCCCTCCCGGGGGTCTCTGCCTGCGGCTGCAGGTGCTGGGCCGGTGCCTGGCGGTGGTGGAGGCCGCCCACGCGTGGCTGACGGGCCGGGCYGGACGGTACCTGGCGGCCTGGGCATTGCCTCAGTTCCTGCTGCTCACCCAGGGAGACCTGCAGGTACGGGGGCACAGGGGGCACGAGGCTCTGGGGGGACAAGGGGGCTGGGGGGACACAGTGGGGCTGGATTCACTGCACCCATCCCCCTCCAGGTGCTGAAGGCAGAGGCGGAGCAGCTGATGCTGCAGGTGAGCGGGACCTTCCCAGAGCCAGGGGACGCCCATGGGGACACCCCCCATGAGGCACTCCCGATCCCGGGGACCCCATGGGARCTCCAGCTGTGCCGGCAGATCCACGACGTGACCAACAGCATCCAGGTATGGGGGGACCTAGAGAAGCGGGTCCTGAGCCCCCTCCTTTGTCACCCTGTGTCACCCTCTGTCACTCTGTGTCTCCCTGTGTCCCAGCTCTTCTCCGGGGATGTGCTCCGGATGTTCTCCACCAGCTGCAAGCGGCTCTCGGCCGAGATCTTTGACCAGACAATGCCACTGGGCCGGCACTGGCGGCTTGGGCCACGTGCCGGTGGGTGTTGGGGCCAGGGGGGATGTGGGGTGCTCAAGGGGAGCTTTGGGGAGTCACTGAGTGGTGTTCCTGTGTCCCCCAGAGCTGCCCAGCTCCCCCAGCGCGTACGCGGCCGCCGCGGTGCAGGCGGTGCTGGGGCAGGTGCTGCAGGGGGCCCAGGCTCTGCCCCACGATGCCCAGGCACCCACCTTGGCACGGGTCACCACGGCCTTCCTGGAGGCATGGATGGATCATATCCTGACCCGMCGGATCAAATTCAGGTACTGGGGATGGGGGGACACAGCCAGAAGCACAGCTGGTGGTGGGTGGGCAGTGCCAGGGGTCCCAGAGATCCTGGGGGTCCCAGAGATGAGGCTGATGGGCCCAATGTCAGTTTGGGGGTCCCAGTGGGCAGTGCCAGGGATTTGTGGCAACTTCAGGAGTTCCAGTGGCATGGTGGCACTCCTATGACAGGGCAGGGGGCCTTGTGGCAGTTTGGGATCCCAGTGGAGGTCCTGGGGATCCTGGTGGCAGTGCCTGGGTTCCGTGGGCAGTTGTGGRGGTCCTGATGGTCTGATGGTGGTGCTGTGGTCTTTATGGTGGTCCCAGAGCATGGTGGTGGTGTTGGGGGTCCTGATGGGGATTCCAGGGGTGCCATGCCCACCCTGACCCCCATCCCAGCCTGCAGGGTGCCCTGCAGCTCCGGCGGGACTTCGAGGCGGTGCARGATCTGGTGTGCTCGGAGCGCTCCGGGCTGGCTCCCGAGGCCCGGCAGGCGCTGCGGGCCCTCTGCGTCTTCCGGCACACGGACACGGCAGTGCGGTGCCTCCTGCAGCAGCCAGGGGGGCTGGGGGGGCCCCCTCGGGGCTGGCGAGGCCTCCGGCGCTGCTGTGAGAGCGGGATGGGCTGGAATGGGTGGGAACGGGGTGGGATGGGAGGAGACAGGGCGGGGGTGGGCTGGGATGGGGGTGAGATGGAAATGGGATGGGGTGGGATGAGGATAAAATGGAATGGGATGGGTTGAAGTGGGGTGAGATTGGGATGAGACGAGTTGGGTGGGAAAGGGATGGGACAGGGTGGGATAAGGATGGGGAGAAAGACTGAGACAAAGATGGATGGGGATAGGGAGAGGGACAAGGATGGGAATGGGATTGGAGTGGGAACTGGGATGGGGATAGGGATCCCCACCAGGAGCAGGATCCAGTATTGCAGCCCATCCATCCCTCCCCAGGCTCGGACGAAGGCGCCCACCCCCTGGAACCATCCATGGATCCTCTCCCTGGGCTGGACCCTCTGGAGGGGCCRGGCACAATCCCAGGGACACCCCCGCTGACTCCGGAGGCCGATCTCCCGTTCCGTCCCGAATCCCCGTTCCCGGGCAGCCAGCAGCAGTGGCTGTCCCTGCGGCTGCACCGCGCCCGCCGCTGGCGTGTGCCGGGGCTCCCGTGCGTCGGGAACAGCCCCGAGGGCTGACCCAGAATAAACCTGGCAACAYCATGGCCGTGGCTGTGTCTGTGGGTGCGGGTCTGGCTTCACTGSGGTGTGATCCTGGGATTTCAGCTGGGACCAGTTGCTGGTGGGTAGGATCTAACTGGAATTCTTGGCAGGACAGCTGGGGTGTCCTGGGTGGTCCTAAGGAAGGCTGGGAGTCCACGGATGTGCTTTGGTTATCCCCGAGAGGTTGAGGGGAGATCAACGGGCACAATAAAGCGGACGTGAGGCGCGTGGACTGGGTGGCAGGGGGCTTGGGGACATTSTGCGGTGTCGCTGTCCCCTCGGGGCCGGTTTGGGTTGAGCGGGGTCCCTGGAGGACCGAACTGCGTGAGCTCCTCCAGGCCAGCAGGGGACGCTCGCGTGATTCGCCTCTCCCCCCCGTCGCGAAACGGGAACGTCACGRCAGCGACTGCCTCGATGGCGGGCGAGCGGCGGCGGCGTGGCGGGGATGGACCGCGGGACCGGCCCCGAGAGCGGCTACGGGACCGGGACCCGAAACTTCGGCAACAGCARCAGCCACAGCGGGGCTCCGGGCGGGGCCGAACGGCGCTGGCGCTTACGGCGGCGGCGGCAGCGCTGGCTCTGGGTCTGGCGGCGGCGGCGGCCGAATGGAAGCGGTGGAGCGAAGCGTCCCGCCTCGTCACCCCACACCCCGCGCCCCMCGCCGTCCCCGCCGGTTCCACCGGRCCCCTCGCATCGCCCGCCTACTTTTGGGGCACGTACCGGCCTCACGTCTATTTCGGGATGAAGACGCGGAGCCCGCGCGCTGTSGTGACCGGTGAGGGGCGCGGGGGGCTCTGCCTCACCCTGGGGCTTGTCCGGCCCCGTTCCCACCCCGAGAGCCGCCCCTGACACCCCCCCCCGCCCCCTCAGGACTGATGTGGCTCCAACACGGCAGCAACTTGCGGCACACGAGCGAGCAGAACGACGGCGTGTCGCGATACGGGTGGCTGATGCACGACGGGGAGAATTTCGGCGTGCAGGAGATCCGCGATGAGGGGCTGGTGCTGAAAACCGAGTTTGTGAMACAGCCCGGGGGAGATCACGGCGGCGACTGGAGCTGGCGGGTCACAGCAAAGATGGAGGTGAGGGGATGAAGGTGGGAGAGGGGTTGGGATGCCGGGGAGCTTTTGTCACACGCCTCCTCCTCCTCTTTCTCCTCCCCAGGGCAAGGGCCCAGCCCCTCTCCTGTCCCTCTTCTTCTACGTGGCCACAGATGGGCAGGGGACGYTGAGGCCGGTGCTGGAGAACGGGACACGGCTGGCGGCTGTGGCAGGGACGGCGGAGGAGCTTGGGGACTTCACCGTCACCTTCCTGCCCCCCACTGGGGAGGGCGGGGAGGGGACCAAGTACGCCAGGTGAGTCTCTGGGCTGCAGCTCCCAAACTCTGTATCCCCTCCATCCTCACATGTCCCCTCCATCTACCCCCATGTCCTGTTTCTCATGTCCCCACCATGTCCCCCATCTCTGACTCTCCTGTCTCCCCCAGTTACAACTTCCTGGCTGCGGGGGTGCCGGGCCTGCACCGTCTCACCGACCTGGTCCGGCAGAGCCTCCGTGACAGCTCCATATTCTCCCCGCCGGGCCGGCCCCGCCGCCGCTTCTTCGGGGTGTCCAGCACCGGGGGGCTGCCCGGGGAGCCCCCGCGGGGGCAGCTCCTGCTGCACCAGGTGACGCTGGAGCCACCGGCGGTGCTGGAGGTGACGCTGGAGTCGGGCAGTGCAGCGGGGGCGCGGCAGGGGCGGCTGGCGGGGCCGGTGCTGAGCGCGGCACTGGCCCGGCACGCGGCTGCCTTCGAGCAACGCTTCGAGGACACCTTCAAGCTGGGGGCACGTGGGGTGTCCCTCCCGCAGCGCCGCTTCRCCCAGGCCGCTCTCAGCGAGATGCTGGGCGGGATCGGCTTCTTCCATGGCCGCTCCCTGCTGCGCTCRGAGCACCAGGAGGAGCCGGTGCCCGGCGCCGAGTCCATGCTGTTCACGGCCGTGCCCTCGCGCTCCTGCTTCCCACGTGGCTTCCTGTGGGATGAGGGCTTCCACCTGCTGCTGCTGAGCCGCTGGGACCCTGCGCTGGCCCGTGACATCCTCGCCCACTGGCTCGACCTCCTGAACGCCGACGGCTGGATCCCGCGGGAGCAGATCCTGGGGGAYGAGGCGCGGGCCCGGGTGCCCCCCGAGTTTGTGCTGCAGCACAGCGAGACGGCGAACCCCCCGACACTGCTGCTGGCTCTGGAGCGGCTGCTGCCCGATGCACCCCTCCCCTACCTGCGCCGCCTCTCCCCGCGCCTGCGCGCCTGGTTCGAGTGGCTGAACCGCACCCAGGCCGGCCCAGAGCCCTTCACCTTCCGCTGGCGTGGCCGCGACACCGACCCCGAGCGCTTCCTGAACCCCAAGACGCTGGCGTCGGGGCTGGACGATTACCCCCGAGCCTCCCACCCGTCTGCGCAGGAGCGGCACCTGGACCTGCGCTGCTGGATGGCGCTGGGTGCCCGCGTGCTGGCGGCGCTGGCCGAGCGCCTGGGCGAGCCCCACGTGCCCTATCGCGACATGGCCGACACCCTGAGCGACAACGAGCTGCTGGACCGGCTGCACTGGGCACCTGAGCTCGGCACCTTYGCCGATTTTGGCAACCACAGCGCGGCTGTGGCGCTGCGCTGGCACCGCCCGGCCCCCGTGCCCGGCAGGCCCCCCCCGGCCCCGCAGCTGCGGCGGGAGGTGCGGGAGGCGCCGCGGCCGCAGTTCGTGGGTGCTTTGGGCTATGTGAGCCTGTTCCCGCTGCTGCTGCAGCTGCTCCGAGCGGACTCGCCGCGGCTGCCGGCRCTCCTGGGCTCCATGCGCAGCGAGAGGCAGCTCTGGACGCCCTTTGGCCTGCGCTCGCTGGCCCGCGACAGCCCCTGGTACCTGCGCCGCAACACCGAGCACGACCCTCCGTACTGGCGCGGCTCCATCTGGGTCAACATCAACTTCCTGGCGCTGCGGGCGCTGCACGGTTACGCACAGGCGGCGGGGCCGCACCGGGAACGTGCGGCCGAGCTGTACCGGGAGCTGCGCCACAACCTGGTGGCCAACGTGTTCCGGCAGTACGAGGCCACCGGCTTCCTTTGGGAGCACTACCGGGACAGTGACGGGGCCGGGCAGGGCTGTCACCCCTTCGCCGGCTGGTCTGCGCTAGTCGTGCTGGCCATGGCCGAGGACTATTAGTGCGGGGGGGTCCCCATGTCCCCCACCCACCCGGCGTGCTCAGGGCCAGGGGAGGTGCTGGGGGGGCTGTGCCGAAGCCCCCCTGCCTCCCCTGGAATAAATCTCCACAACTGTGGCCTCTCGCTGCCCATGTCAGGGTGTCAGTGTCCCCTTTGCTGGCCCCAGGTCMGACTGGTGCCCCCTGTGCCATGGTGGGGGGTGTTTTTGCCCCCACCCTGTGGCGTTGGGGGTCCCCACCCAGCCCAATGCACCAAGCACAAGGGGCGATGGTATTTGCACATCTCTTTAATGGTGAGAGAATGTGTCGGGACCACCCACCCCAACGGCCTTGGGCACCCCCCGGCAATGGGGCCCCCCTGGGCAGCAGCACCGGGATCGGGGGGGAGGCCCCAGAAGCAGTTCAGAGGGGAGGGGGCTTCAGCAGGACCCCATCACGCTGCAGGGTGGGTGTCAGTCAGGGTGAGGGGCCCCCAGGGGCTCTGTGTTGAGTCCAGACCCCAGTTGGGGGTCCTGGGGCGGGCTCAGACAGGCAGCACAGGTGAGCCGGGCCCCCCACCATCCCCCGGTCCCCCGCAGCTCTCGGGCTCGCCCTCCTCCTCCTCCGGGCCCCGGCCCACCTCGATTCCTGAATCCCCTGTGAGCCGCCGGTGCCGCCCGCCCCCATCCCCTGGCACCATCCCGCTCCTCCCTTCCTCACCCCCCTCGGTGTCAGAGCAAGGGCGGCCCTCGGCCTCGCAGAAGTCCCGGGGGACTTGTTTGGGGGGTCCCCCGCGGGCGGGCGGCTCCTCGGGCGGGGGCAGGTCCCAGCTGACACCAGTACCGGTGCTGCTGGAGCCGCCGTCACGGCCGGCACTGCCATCCCCCGGGCCCGGGCCAGGCTCCGGGTCCGTTTCGTCGGTGCCCGGTGCCGAGAGCGAGGAGCTGCTGGGGGAGGAGGCGCAGGAGCAGCCGCACGAGCAGGAGCTGCAGCCCCCTGAGGAGCCGGGGGACAGCGAGGGGCTCCCGGGGCTGTAGGGCGGCGGCGGCGTCCCKGGGCGCTGCGCCACCTCCTCGTACGCCGGCAGCTTGAAGGAGGCCAGCAGCCCTGGGGGGACAAAGAGGCGGAGTCAGGGGGATGCCCGGGATACCGGCGGGCACCGGGAAACGGCCCCGAGGGGATGGAGGGGGAGGGCACAGCCTGGCACAGGGCAAAGCTGGGGGGAATGTGGGGATGGGGGCGTACTGGGAGGAGGGACGGGGCTGGGGGGGATCTAGGAAAGGGCTGGGCTGGGTCGGGGGATGGGGGTTTGCAGGGATGTAGGGATCCCTCATTCGCTGAGGTCCCTTAAGGAGGGAGTGGGGGTGACATGGAGGGTTCTGACCCACTGAAACCCCCGGGAAGGCGGTGGGGTACGAGGGGCTGGGGGGTGACATATGTGAGGTGCTGGAGGTCCCCCATGGAGGGCAGGGACTGGGGAGGACAGGGGAAGTGCAGAAGCCCCTCACTCACGGAGGTCCCCCGCGGAAGGRGGGTAGTGGCAGGCACCGTGGTAGGCGATGAGGTTGATCTCACGCTGCCGCTGCTGCTGCTGCAGGCGCAGCTTGGCCCGGCGGTGCCGGAACGCGCAGCAGCAGCTCAGCAGGATCAGGATGGTCCAGAGCAGCCAGAACCCTGCGGGAATGGGGGCGCAGGGCAGCGGGGTCACCCTCACACAGAGCCCCCGTTCCCATGGRGGGAATCTGCCTGCAGCTCCCGCAACCTCCCAGAACCCTCAGTCCTCCCACTGTMCCAGATCTCCCTGAGCCTCGAATCTGCCTGGAAGCGCCCAGGCCCCCTGAGCCACAGGACCGCCCCAGAGGCCCCGATTTTCCTCGGAGCTCTCAGTCTCTGCCGTCCCCCCGCCAAGTTCCCGCAGGACTCACATGGAGCCCTGAGCCCCGCCAGATCCCCCGACTTCTGCGAGTCGCAGGACGCCCCCGGGAGTCCCGGATCCTGTCGAAGCCATCAGCCCCCCSAGGAGCCCCTGATCCCCTCCGTTTTCCCCGGTAACCCCTGCACTCACACCACAGCTCGTAGTAGTAGGTGCAGCAGCCGCTCTCCCCGCAGCAGTGCCCGGTCTCGCACACATAGGGCCGGTTGTTCACCCCCGGGCAGAACTCCCGGGCCTGCGGGCACGGCCGCACCGTCACCGCGGCCCCGCGCGCGGCCCCCCCGCCCCGGCCCGCCCGGTACCTGCGGGTGCTGCCGGCCCAGCAGTGCGGCCCAGGCCCCCT